CTCTTCGGTTTGCTGTAGCACACTGAGCCCTGTGGTATGAATAGGCAGCACACACATGGCTGACTACCAGTGCCAAGATTCTTTTCAAGCACAAAGAAAAGTATGTCAGAGCAGGGCAGAGAGGATCTGCCTTGTATGGCCGAGGGCTTAGCATGTAGCTTAGGGACCGCACTGAGCTAAAAAGTGGAGAATTTATGTGGGGGTATGTGCTCTGTGTGTGCGAAGCGATTATTGTGTCCTTGTGTGTGCATATCTGAGATGTGTGTATGTGCCAGGGTTATTAGAGCAACGTTAGAATTCGGGAATGCTAGCCATTGTTTCCAGTTTCTTCCCCAACTAGGTTCACTGGGGTGTCGGTTTTGTTTGTTTCTTGTGTTAATTTGACCAAGTGGTTCAGAGGGAACACCCTGACTGTTTTGTGTGGCAACGGCTGTGAATGCTCGTGTATATGTTGTATTTTCGTTTTGTATTTTAAATAAATTTGCAAGGATTTCAGCAAACCTTTTTTCTTTCACCTTTCCCTCTCGTTCTGGGGTATTGTGTGTAGAATTTTTAGGGTGAAAATGAATTTGATCCAATGAATCTGGAATACGGTGGCAACATGACAAAATGTGGAACAAGTAAAACACTGAATATTTTACGGATGCACTGTGAAAAGATAGTATCATGAGTGTGGTTGTTGGGGGGTTTTGGCGGGGGGTGCCTTTGGGGGAATTGATTTGCCTACTTCTTTGAAGATATCATATGTTTAATGTTTTGTTTTGGATTTTGGATTCAGGCCTGGGAGCTTAGGATGATACGTATGTAAATGTGTAAAATACAAGATAAGATTTTCTGATTATATTTCTCAGAGTTTTAGACACAATTCAGACACAAGATTGGTACTGAGATATAAAAGAAAGTGCAAATTCAGAATTTCACAATGAATTATCTGGAACCTGTTACAGCTGTTTATCTTTGCCTTATGTTATTGTCACTCTCATCATCACCAGTCACAGAGTGTGGCCGCTGAGGTACATGGTGCTTAAACCAATGCTCTGCTGGCTCAATAACTGCAGAGTCCCAAACCACCTCCAACATTCAGATTAGGACAAAAGCTGCACTGGGACCATCATGGTATAGCAGCTCCTAAAACTGTAGCGTGTCGGTGGTGTTGCGAAATCAGTTTCACCCCGGTTCTTTTATTCGTCGAAACTTCCAGAGACGGCACCGGAACTCAGTAGTCATTTCACAAAACCTTTATTCATCTTCATTTAAGCATGCACTTCTAGAAGGGAAGACGAGGCCGATGTCCCTCTGCAAAATCTTCACCCCTTTGTTAGTTACAGCCAGCTTTATAGAGGCGACCCCATCATAAAACCCCCCCACGGTGTGCTGCAAACTCTGTGTCTGTGCCTACATGTGCGCGTTCCCGCGTGTCTATGTGAGTGCTCGTGAGTGACTGTGTACGCTTACCTGTATGTATGTGCGTGCAAGTGAGTGAGTGTGCGTGACAGTTAAAACACTGTGGGTGTAGGTGACTCCCTAGAGGTCATAAAAGCCCATCTCCCTTCCATACCACAGTTATCCAGTTACAAATGTTGAGACCTTTCACAGTTCAACTGGGGGAGGGGTCTCCTACAATCTGCTCCTAAGTTCATGACACAGTCAGGCCTTTATTACATTGAGGGCAGTGTCAGTGTCTCTACAATAATTCTACATTCTATGTTAACACATTTCTAAACTCTAAAATAAGCTAAACATTCCTACAGTTGCCAATTACTTTTGTCCATATAGTGTATGTAAAAACATCCAAATTTTCTAGCACGTTCTGATCTGAATATATTGTGTTGACATTTCTGCTTATGTGAACTGAAAACTTTGAATTGAAAATTGTAAATCTAGTGGTTGATTTGTATGATACATGGACAACCAAACGAATTTTGGTGTACAGGCCAGAGCTCCAGTTTAACAGTTTAAAAATGGAATATAAAACTTTTAGAAATTCATTATGTATTTTAATTCAATACCAACAATCAGTTTGGCAGGAGAACTAGGTGCTATTTTTCAAATAG